CTCTCTCTCTCGTGCGGAGCTGAGGCCGCGGGAGGAGCGTGCTGCCATCTAGCGCTCATCATCATCACAGCAGCTCTGCGCTCAGCTCCACAACAGCCTGAACAGAAACTGACGGTCCACCAGTGCGATCAGAATCGGACAGTCGGACAGCACCCATTTATATACACACCAGTGGCGTTCCGTCCATATAAGCTGCGAATGCTCCGCATACCCAGGCCATTTGAGAGAAGTTCACAGGATAATTCATATAAACATGATTATAAGTTGATCCCTTGTCATTTGTAACTTAAAGCTTAAAGAGTTAGGAATAAGAACGTAAAATGATTTATTTGCCAAAGGCAGTAATTTTCTGTAAATCTAGGTCAGTTGGTCGCTTCCGGGCGAGGGATTCTCCGCAGCTGTCTGGCCTCCGCTCTGTTGCTCTGACTCTTCAGGATTGTAGCGCGTTCTCACTGATGTGCTGGTCTGCGGCGGATGTAATGCGCGAGGTAAGCTGTCCGAGAAGCGCTCGCCCAAGCGGAAAAATGTGCTGTTGCCGTCAGATCTCGATTGCAGAGAATCACATTGTGTTTGATGCTAAACCAAGGCGACTAAATCAAAAGAAAAAACACTGTAACTGTATATTTTTGTTTTCTCAAACAAAGCAAATTTTAAAAGTCCACTGAAAACATATATTTTTAAATTTTTGATCATAGACAAGACAACGTATGTTGAAGATATATGTTACTGTCAACGTTATTACCTAATCGGTAAATAATAATAATAATAATAATAATCATAATTAATAATAAAAACGCTCTCGGTTACTCGTGTAACCTCGGTTCCCTGAGATGAGGGAATGAGACATTGCTATGGGAATTACCCTTTCCTCCAAATACTACTGAAGCCTTATTGAATCACGCCAGTGAAACTGGCCAATGGCGTTCAAGCGTGGGAAATATGAGGGGCTCCCGCTCTATAAAAAGCAGAGCTTGTACATCATCTATTCAGAATCTTGACTGAAGCAACTTGGCATTCTAAGATCCTGAGCTAGGTGACACGGCAATAAGAGCAATGTCTCGTTCCCTCATCTCAGGGAACCGAGGTTACGTGAGTAACCGAGAGCGTTCCCTTTCGATTCGGTCACTCTACATTGCTATGGGAACGTATAAAATCCCACCGTGTCACAGCGATGGAGCCTGGCTCGACTAAGTATGTCAAGTTTCACATACGGAACCGTAATGAGAGCGGCAATGATATTGGCACTCTTGTTATACAACGGCGCTCAAATAAGCAAGAGTATGATGGTGATCAAGTCCTAAAAGACGTGATGAACTATATCAACTATATCATATGAGCTGATAAGAGAGCAGCATTGGATTGGTGGCGCGTCAGTACAGGGGTGTATACGACCTGGTCGAAACCACTTAGGCATGCAGCTCAGCTCATAACTGAGGCTGAGAAGGTGGGTGTGCCGCTCGCACTGACAGCACATGTGAGGCAAGCGACGACACATCTAGGTTATAAAACCTCGCGAAAGTGCTGGGTGACGACCAGCCTGCCGCCATGCAAATGTCCTGAATAGATATGCCATTTGCCCGAGTCCGCAGGTTGAGTGGGCCCGAACCCCTATAGGACATTTCACGCCCTTAGAGCCATAAGCCAAAGCAATTGCGTCAACGATCCAGTGTGACAGCCTTTGCTTGGACACAGGCAGGCCTTTTGTGCGCCCTCCAGAGCATACAAATAGCTGCTCCAAGAGCCTGAATTCAATACATGAGTCGTCAATTGACAGTGCCTGCAGGTCGCCAACTCGCTTAACAGAGGCCAGCGCGAGCAGGAGCGCTGTCTTGAGAGAAAGCGTGCGCAAGCTCGCTGATTGTATGGGCTCAAACGGGGGTCCCGTGAGAGCGTCAAGCATAAGCGCCAGGGTGGAAGGGCGAGGAGGGTTCAGCCTTCTTGCTCCTTTTAAAAATCGTATAATCAGGTCATTTCTGCCGATTGGGCGATTATCGACGTGCGCACATACACGCACATACACTTTCAATGTGGATGGTTTACGACCACTATCACCAGCATCTTCACCAGTTCTGGGAACCACGGCTGATTGGGCCATTTCGGTGCCACTAACAGAACAGATTCTCTGTCCTCTCTGATTTTGCAAGGCACGCGAGGCATAAGTTTCACTGGAGGAAAGGCATACTTGCGTACTTTCAGCCAGATGTGAGCTAGTGCATCCACTCCCAGGGGAGAGAGCACAGAAGAAGGTCTCTCACCAGCTGCAGCAGCGGCCGCGAGCTCACACCCTCTTGGTGATTTATAAACACTACCACTGTCACGCTGTCCGTCCTCATGAGAACGTGACGGTAGAGAATGTCAAGGAGAAAGCACTCGAGCGCTAGGTGTACAGCAAGGAGCTCCAGACAGTTTATTTGCCACAACTTCTCTGTTTCTGACCACGTCCCGAAGGCTGGTCAGCCGTCGCATACGGCTCCCCAGCCCCTGCTTGATGCATCTGTCGTAACAGTCTTTCTTCTTATCACTTGGCCAATAGGAACACCCCGGCGATACAGAGTCATATTGCGCCAAGGGGTCAGTGCATCCCAGCAGTCGCACGTCACTTTGATGCGCAAGGTGCCCGCGTGGCATGCGCTCTGTGGCAGCCGGCCCTTTAGCCAGAGCGGTCGCATATGTAGGAGCCCTAGTTTGCACACTGTCGAGGCGGGAGCCATCTGGCCGAGCGTCCTCTGAAAGCATTTCAGTGGGGGAGAGTGCCCTAACTTGAAGACTGCGAGAGAGCTGATCAGTTTTTGTGAGCGCTCCTCCGACAAACATGCTCACATATTGATTGAATTCAGCTCCACTCCTAAAAAGGAGATGTTCTGGCTCTGTACCAGTATGCTCTTTTGCATATTCACAGTAAGCCCTAAGCTCTGGAGATGAGCGAGGAGACTGAGCTTGTCATTGAGCAGCGCGCTTTCTGATTGGGCTAAAACTAGCCAATCGCCGAGATAATTCAGGATGCGCATTCCGCTCTGCTTCAGAGGAGAGAGAGCAGCATCATGCACCAGGGATAAACCGAAGGGTAGGACCAGGAATTGGTACGCTACCCCCTCGAATGCAAATCTCTGGAAACACCTGTCGTGAGGGGCTACCTGAATGTGAAAATAAGCATCCTTTAAATCCACAGAGATAAACCAATCCCTCGGTCTGATGTGTGAGAGGATTTGTCTCAGCG